CGGTAAACATCTATGATTTCATTCCAGAACTCTGTGACCAGGGATTCTCCTGGATTACGGTAGCATGCTAAAATGGGGATTTTTGGTTTTACGTTATTAATTTCTGCGCCAGCGAGTTCAAGACTCGGATGGGGATCAGTAATATTCTGGTGAGGTTTGAAGGACAGATGGTTTTTGACAATGAAAATAATATCTCTACCTGCATGATTTACTTGATCTACACGGTAGGTTCGGAAACCCGGAAATTTGCAGGGTTTCTTGTCTTCAATCTTCAGTTTAGACTCCACGCCGATGAAGATGTCGCAGTCTCGGAAAGCACGTTCGATGTCTTCACGATGACTGTTGAAGCCTCTGATATTCCAATAGATGATTTTGATGTTCCACTGGATGGAGCCTGGGTCAGGTTGTTGATGTTGATAGTCATCAGCCATGGTTGTTTTTATTTTTGTGGGGTCATGGAAGAGGCCGTCATATAGCCATTTTCGTCTGGATCAGTGGACACTTTGTCGAATTTGTTTGCCGGCTGCGTGACTCGGCCTTTAAACTGCCGTTCGTCCATATAAACAACGAGTTTTCGCAGTGTTGTGACCAGATGCATGGCATCTTTCTCCTACTTCTCGGCCAATTCGCGAGCATCTTTGATTTGGTATGAATCATCGATGAGCTATATAAATTATTCATAGAAGAACTCGTATTTCTCTGGGTCTTTTCGAAGTACTCTTGCCAGACGGGGAGAGAAGATCCTCATGTTTTCTAGAGTTAAAAGACGAGCTTTGGATATCTTTGCCTTTTTTTTCTTTTTTAGTTGCCCTTCGGGACCTCGAAACCGTCTTCGTCGTCTATTTGATCGTTAAAGATTATCTCTTTCTCTGATTCTTCTGGTGTCTCGGGTAAGGCTCGTTTTGCACTGTTTACAGTTTCTGCATCCATAGGCTCCAATGTTATGATTGCCGGATTAGCTCGTGGAATTCTCTCGGTATTATCTCCAGCCGCCGTTTCGCCATCGACTTGGCCTTGGGTATTGTTCTTTTGAACTGCTTCGTTCACGATGTCTGTCACTGGGAGATTTAAAGTGCCAGGAGGTGTGGTTTCACGTTGTCGTGCGGACCTGTGTGCAGCGCTCGTTTTTCTTGTTTGTGCAGAATCTTGGGGACAGTTTTTTGCTATGTGTCCTGCTTTATTGCATTTGTAGCAGTTGAAATTATCCACAGTGGTTAAAATCATGTATAATTTATTCTGATGAACGACATTGAGAGTTTCGTGGAGGAGCCGGACATCAACTTCTTTGATTATCAATTGTCTCCTAACAGTAGCTACCTTGTAACCTTCTCTGTCTAGTGTTAGATATAGTGTAGTGATCTTCGTAATTGGCTCAATCTTTTTCTCACGCAGAGCCTCCTCTATTACAGAGTTCGGTATTTTGGGGGTCACATTCGAAAGAACAACTTTCCGGGTTTTTGGCCTTTTCAGTAACGATGTTCAGCTTGTTATCGCCTATCTTAATGTTGGCGTCTGGTGCAGTAATTTTATCTACAAGCTCTGGGGTTGAAACCTAGACAACTACTCGATTTCCCGTGAGTCTTTCAACTCCCTTAACATGCTCTCGTCCAACGAATTCACCGATAATACACCCAAAAAAAGTCGGTCTGAATCAGACCGATCAAGTCGCAGTGAATCATGCCGGGAATCGACTTGTTTCATGTCGAATTGACGGCATGGATCAGGTCGGACTCGGACAGGTGCAAACCGAAATATCGGTCTGATTCAAGTCGATTTTTCAACTTGATTCAGACCGACTTCGGTTTGATTCAGGTCGATTTTTCGATTTGATTTAAATCAATTTTTCGGTCTGATTCAGATCACTTTTTCAGTTTGATTCAAGCCGATTTTTTGGTTTGATTCCGACCGATTTTTCGGTTTGATTTAGACCGACATTTCGATTTTATTCAGACCGATTTTTCGGTTTGATTCAAGTCTCGATTCTTGAGCTTAATTGATCAAAAGTTTCTTCAATGCCGAGCGGTTTTTATACGCGGGGGTGTAAAAAGGTGATTTTGTTAACAGGTTGGGATTCTAAATCGGGGTCTTATGTAGATTTTATATCGGGGAAGTGGTCTTATATATGGGAGGGAGAGGGAGGGGGGTGCTTTGAGAATTCATGACCGAAAAAATGGAGCTGGTGAATTTTTCAAAAATATCTCGTAAAGTAAGGAGAGACGGCGAATTTTTACGAAAATTTGGGAGAGGGGGAGGGGTGAGAGGGTGCATTGAGAATTTCCCTTCCCCCCACTCAAATTTTCGTAAAAATTCGCTCCCTTAGTTTTGGAGATATTGTTTAAAACCTTACCGACTCTACTTTTATTGGTTGTGAATTCTCAATGCACCTCCTCCCCCCGCCCTAAATTTTGGTAAAAATTCGCCATCTCCCTTAATTTTGGAGATATTTTTAAAGAACTCACCGACTCAATTTTTTTGATTCAGAATTCTTAATGCCCCCCCCCCAATTTTCATAAAAATTCGTTATTTCCCTTAGTTTCAGAGATATTTTTGAACCACCCCCCCTCTCCCTCGTTGCGAAATTCCCCCTCGAAAAGTAAAACAATTTTCTAGATTTTAGAAACAAATTTTCCAAATTGATATATTTTTTAAGAATATCATAGTTTTAAATTAATCCCTATTTTGATCATTAATTTTAAATGATTTCTTTCTAAAACGTAAAGTTTTTTCGAAAGCTAATTCGCTTTTTCTCTCTGTGTACGGTGTACAGGGTGTCCCATAGTATGTGACAAAAGTAAATTGCGAATAACTTGAATACGGTTAAGTGTAAATAATTGTTGTTTCTTTTATTGTACACAGAACATTCGGCAAATTATAATACAATCCCTTTCAAGCGTCCGCCATCACTTGTACTACAGAACTCTATCCTACGCTCGAAACTGGTATAGATGCGCTGTATTATGTTTTCATCAATAGCTCGGACAGCATCCCTAATTGCGTCTTGCAACTCTTCCACAGTCGTCGGATGCTTTTCATAGCACCTGTCCTTGAGAAAACCCCACAGGCAAAAATCACAGGGATATAAGTCAGGACTGTAAGGCGTCCATTCCATGCCCCCATGGGCATACTTAGGGTAACCTAAACCTAACACACGAGTGCCATAAACGGAAAAAAGTGTTTCAAATACTCCAGTAGTCCTGTGTGGGGTGGCACCATCTTGCATGAAGTAGAAATTCTTGACTAATTGTTTTTTTCGTGCCCAAGGAAAGAAGTTCTTTTTCAAGAACTCACAGTAAATGTCAGCATTAATTGTCCGACTCTCGAGCAATTTAAGGAAAACACCCTTTATGGTAACTGCCGCCCATGCAGTAACTTTTTTCGGGTGTGAGGACTTGGTTTCAACGACGTGAAGTGACTCAGTCCCCCAAAAGCGAAAATTTTGTTTATTTACCAAGCCACCTAAGTAGAAATGTGGTTCGTCAGAGAAGATGATATTCTGTACCTTCATCCCCTTGGATTCAAAAAGATTGTAAAGTTCTTGGCAAAATTCCACACGACGGGCCATCGCTTCTTCAGTTAAAAATTGATGTACAGAAATTTTGTAGGGATGAAAGTTTAAAAACACTTTTAAGATACGGTGAAGTGAAGTTCTCGAGACTTTCAAGGTTTGGGAAGTCTTCCGAAGAATATCATTTGGATATTTTTTGAAATATACTTCAGTTGTGCGCATAACCTCATCTGTGGTTACAGTAGGTGAAGGACCAGGATTCTCATCCCTCATATCGTCTAGTGTACCGTATTGATCAAATTTCTCAATTAACCTGAAAATACCCATGAATTGGTCGAAAAATACGTAAATCTTCAAAAAAAAAAGAAAAAAAATGTTGGTTATCTAGTTCATTCACTCTATTTACCATCTGAGACTCGAATCAGACACTCCAGTGTGTGTGCCATACTTAGGATGGAATGCTCTTATTGCTGCAGTAGTTGAATCTCCTCTTCGGTAATATGATTTGATGAGGAATGTTTTTTGTTCAATGGTTAGGTTTTCTAATTCGCAAGCGACTGAAGTATGGATGAAATTTGCGGAGAGTCTCCACTTCAACCATATATTAGACTTTTGACTGCGCTGTCACCTTGCGGTATACAACGCAATTTACTTTTGTCACATACTATGGGACACCCTGTAAGTCGACTTATTTCGCGCGAAAAAATTTTTCATGTCGGAATAAGTCGATTCAACTCGCAGGATAATAGTTGAGAATGAAATTTAGAACTTATTCAGTTTTCCACTTGAATAATAATATAGTTAATTTATTTTTCTTAAATCATTTATAGGGAATATGTAACACAATATGTAGAATCGTTTTCCGTCAATAACTCATTTTCGGAAAGAAACGACGTATCACGCTTCGTTACTGAGATCATTTAGATTTATTATTATTATTTTTCAGTTTCGTTTTGCAAAGGTACTAATGTGGAGAATTTCATTCTCTAATTATACAGATTTCCGATAATTGTTGCCTCAAAACCATCCTCTTTCCATTGATCAATTCCCTTGGTTTATTCTCTAAAAATTTTTTTTTCTAAGATGAATTTCAATACCCCCACTCTATGGCCTTTAAAACGGAATGCCGGTTTCCCGACTAAAGCGTCCTACTATGCGTTTCATCTTAGAGTCTATAAATTTAACATTCTTTCATAATGAAAAATGTTTCCTATGGTCAAGGAATTTCATCAATTTGACCGGGAAAAGTCAAGGAATTTTGTTGAAACTTCCAGGTGGACACCCTGACACGGCATGATGGGGAGCATTTTAACCACATTCGAGGGTTAATGCAGAAGCAAGCTCCATAAAAAAGATCTCTTAGTAAATTATTCTAAACCCATTCACATTCGCGCCAACAGTAAAACAATTTCTGTTAACTATTTCTTAGAAGTTTAGGCCAATCAATTATCATCTTGAGTAAATGAAAGCTTACTGTGATTTTTCTTTTCACCAGGGTAAAATAGACGTGTGCATAGCACTTCTTCAGCATGGAGCGGATCCAAATATCCGCAACACTGAAGGGAAAACGGCTCTTGAACTAGCAGAACCAGCAACGAAGCCAGTATTAACCGGAGAGCATCGGAAGGATGAACTGCTCGAAGCTGCTCGTTCAGGAAACGAGGAAAAACTTTTGCAGCTTCTCAACCCACTCAACGTTAATTGTCACGCTAGCGACGGGCGTCGCTCCACTCCTCTGCATCTTGCAGCTGGCTACAATAGAGCCCGAGTCGTCCAAATCCTTCTGCAAAATGGGGCAGACGTTCACGCAAAGGATAAAGGAGGCCTAGTTCCTCTACATAACGCATGCTCCTACGGGCATTTTGAGGTAAGCGAGGCTCTCCTAAAACACGGAGCAGCCGTGAACGCGAGTGATCTTTGGGCCTTCACACCCCTGCACGAAGGCGCTAGCAAATCTCGCGCCGAGGTGTGCTCTTTACTCCTTTCGGAAGGCGCTGATCCAACGCAACTAAATTGCCACAGCAAATCTGCAATAGACGTAGCCCCAACCCGAGAACTTCAAGAGCGTTTGGCCTATGAATACAAAGGTCACTGCCTTCTAGACGCTTGCAGGCAGGCAGATTTAGTAAAGCTAAAAAAATATTCATCAGCTGACGTCATCAACTTTAAACATCCTTACACTGGTGACACCCCGCTTCACTGCGCCGTCGCTTCTCCCTATCCCAAACGAAAACAAATAATCGAGGCTTTAATTCGTAAAAACGCCTCAGCGAATGAAAAAAATAAAGATTTTCTTACTCCCCTGCACGTTGCAACAGATCACTCGTACTACGATGCTATGGATGCCCTCCTAAGACACAATGCTCGTGTGAACGCATTGGATGGACTCGGACAAACAGCTCTACATCGATGTGCAAGAGACGACAACATCCAGGCTGTTAGAATTTTACTATCCTACAACGTGGACCCAACCATTGTCTCTTTACAGGGTTACACAGCGACTCAAGTGGCAACTGAGAACGTTCTGAAGATTCTGGAAAACCCTCCCAGTTGCACAGAGGATGTCGAAATCCAGTTGCTTGAGGCCAGCAAGTCTGGCGATCTAACTGCAGTCGAGAGAATCCTTCAAGCTAATCCTCATGCAGTTAACTGCAGAGACTTGGACGGGAGACACTCGACTCCGCTGCACTTCGCAGCGGGCTACAATCGAGTCCCCGTAGTCGAGTATCTCCTGGCAAATGGCGCCGATGTTCATGCTAAGGATAAAGGTGGACTGGTTCCACTGCACAACGCTTGTTCCTATGGACATTACGAAGTCACGGAATTGTTAGTTAAACATGGAGCTTTAGTGAATGTGGCTGACCTCTGGAGATTCACCCCTTTGCACGAAGCTGCAGCTAAGGGTAAATGTGAGATTGTTAGATTGCTGTTGAGACACGGAGCTGATGCTTCGAAAAAGAACAGAGATGGTGCGATTCCATTAGATCTTGTGAGAGAAGGTGATCAAGATGTTGCAGATTTGCTGAGGGGGAACAGTGCTCTTCTGGACGCTGCTAAGAAGGGAAATTTAGCTAGAGCCCAGAGATTAGTGACTCAAGACAACATAAACTGCCGGGATGCTCAAGGGAGAAACAGTACTCCTCTTCACCTAGCTGCTGGCTACAATAACCTCGAAGTTGCAGAGTTTCTTTTGGAGCGAGGGGCTGATGTGAATGCCCAGGACAAAGGTGGATTAATTCCACTCCACAATGCTTCTAGTTATGGACACTTGGACATTGCTGCTTTATTGATCAAGTATAACACCGTGGTGAATGCTACCGACAAATGGGGCTTCACCCCACTTCATGAAGCCGCACAAAAGGGCAGGACTCAACTGTGTGCGTTGCTGTTAGCTCATGGGGCAGACCCGTTCTTAAAGAACCAGGAGGGTCAGAGTCCTGTAGATCTAGCTAGTGCTGATGATGTTAGATGTCTTTTGCAAGATGCTATGGCTTCTCAGCAGGTCGTTTCTTCGGTTCCGGCAGCATCTGGAATTAACGCAAATGGGAACAGTTCTACTGGAAATAGAACTTCCAGTATTGCGTCGGTTGCTGCCACTCCACCACCTAGTTTGACACAAGAAACTGTTATTATGCCGTCGGGGGCGCAGATGATGCTTTGTGTGCCTGTGGCCAGGCCCACTGCTTGTCTCAGTCCCATGCCAGCTATTGAAAGCTGTCAGGAAAGAGACAAAGATGGATGCGAGGACAGGGGCTGCGCTGCTGTTACAACGGTTCCTGGATTCTTGGCGACTTTAGGACTGGAACATCTGCTTGAGCTCTTTGAAAGGGAACACATTACTCTGGATATCCTAGCCGAGATGGGGCATGAGGACTTAAAGCAAGTTGGAATCTCTGCTTATGGATACAGACACAAGTTGATCAAAGGGATGGATAAACTGTTGAATTCGGCGGTGGGGTCAATTTGGCAGCCGTCTATAAACCCTGCAACGCTGTTGGTCGATTTATTGGCGGATGATAAGGAGTATCTGGCTGTGGAGGAAGAGATGCAGAGTACTGTCAGGGAACACAGAGATAATGGTCACTCAGGGGGCATCTTCGAACGATACAACATTGTCAGGGTAATGATTTCATTTGTTAAAAGTGATTTGATAGCTGCGAAATAAACCGAACCAATTTTTTAAGAGTCGTTCAGTGATCTTTTCTCTATACATAATTGTCATGGCAAAAAGCGAAAAATAAAACTTAGCACGTCAATATCACTTTATTCACAATTTGTTTTTTAAATCGGTTCATTTTCTGCCGGTGAAATTGGTCTTCTATACTCCACGTTTGAAAATGTAAACTTTTTGGGAGGGACTGATCACAGAATGATGCAGAATTCAGAATTGTTTTTAAAATACAATACCCATCTTAACTGTTTTTTTCTCGAGCTCAATATATTGTTGCATGAATAATCGAGCTTAATTTTTTGACGACATCATTTTTTAACAACTCAAAGAAAAATTAATTATCTCGTCGAAAACGTTCATTTTTGTAGGCTCTCAACATTTTTTTTTATGGGGGAACTTTCATAAAATCTCAAACTATTTTGTTGAACTTTCCAAACATCCTTCGAATGATTTCCCTCCTTATGAACGACGATCTCATTCTGTAATAATTAGCACTGAGAGAAAAATGACAAAGTTCTCAAACAAGTCTCACTTGTGCCAAGAACATAGTTTTGTAAAAATTATCAAAAAAAGGATTTTTTTGTGCCAAACATTCAGAGAGTGCGCCGGAATGAAAAACTTTTGTCGCAAAAATAGATTTAGTAGGTACAAAAAAAATGCATTCTCTGTAGACGCAAGAAATGTCATTTCTAGCACTATTCCTTCATTATTCGATACTCCCATACGTATTTTGCTCCCGAAAAATCTTTGTTTTATGCGAAACAATCACAGACAAGAAATGAACCCTTAAATAAAACAATAATAATGATATGATAGAAATCTTGTAATTTAGGGATAAAATATTTGTTGATAAATTTTTCTCTATATGTGGACGTCCGCATGAGAAGGGACCACTTTGGCACGATTGGAGTTATGTATATGGCGATAATCTTGATCTGATTCTGCAAATTTAGAGCCAAAAATGAACTTGATAGCGTAAAGAGTGACGACGCTATAGACGATCGGAAAAATAATTTAACATGGGTTTAAATGGGAGTTGGCAAGAGAAAAACGTGAATATCTCGGAAAATAGAATTGACAAAGTGGTCCCTTTTAATGCGGACGTCCACATATAAGATACTTTTATCCTGAACAAACACTGTCTGATATGAATTATCCGCCTCTTGAGCCAAATATTTCGTTGCTGTCGAAAGCAGAGCAATTATTCATGTTTGAGACTTTCAAATTCGAACCAAACAAATTCTTTTTTGGCAATTTTCAACTAGCGATTTTGTTGGCCCAAACAAGACTTGTTTGGCAACGTGTTTGTTTTTCTCTCAGGGCAGAGAGAGGAAAACTTTGTCAAATACGTTTGTTTTCTTCAGTCAAAAAAAATCAATGTTTTTAGGCATGAGAAAAAACAAAATTTTTAGAAAATGTCAATTTTTGCTTCCGCATGGAAGCATTGCAATCCTTCGATTCTCAGATTCTAATTTTGACTGGAAATGATGTAGAATGGTTTGAAACGTAAAAATACGGAGTCAATCTTTATGAAATTGAGTAATCAAGTGACTAAAGTAATTACAAACAAGCAGGGGTAGAACTTCTATTCGACAGAAGGCAAATGACCATTACTTTTTTTCTTATTATACTTTTCTCCTTTTTTCTACCAATTTCATCCGAAGGGAAGTATATGGAAATATAAACGACCATTTCATTCATCACCATTCAATGACGAGTGGATAAAACAGCATAAAGAATAATAGTAAATTGACTAACTTATTTCATGTGGAAGGACTGTCATAATCAAAAATACTTATCAGGTCACACAAAAACAATGCTTCCATTCGCAAGCAATATAAATTCCACTTAAACCAGATCTCCACATCGTCACTTGGAAAGAATTGTCAGATGATCCATGAATCCATGCTATCGTCTAATTTTTTTTTTTTTTTAATTTCAATATATTAGCTCACCGTCAGTGAATGCAATAAGCATCCATACTCTACAAGAGGTTCAAAAGATAGTACATTTCAGGGCTGTTGCTGTGTGGTTTTTTACTCGTGCGGAGTTATTGAGCCGAGCCAAAGACGAGGCAGACCAACCGCGCGAGTAAAAAAACACATAACGGCAGCCCGGAAAATATTTTTCCGTAGTGATTTTCAATTTTTCAAGTTTGGAAAGTATGCTATACCAATTCCCTGACGAGCAATCGTGGGAAGCAGTGCGGAAAAAAAAATATTTTATCTTTTAGTGAAATGGATATATACAAAAAATTAATCTGTCTCACACCACTGCGCCGATGGCGTCCATTTAAAGTACGGACCTTTGGTATTATGAGAGAGATATATTTACCATATTTCAACTTAATATCGTTTTTCCGTCACAAGTTATCAACCGCACAAGAATAAGAAAACAAAAAATAAGAAAAACGAGAATATCTCCAAAAGTTTGTATGGACGGGTATATATATTTTTAATGATCTGGATAGTAGCGATTGAGACGGATATTTTGAAAAAACAAAATTTTTAATCGGTCAAGTAGTTGGCGAGATATTTGACAGAATAGATTTTCACAAAAAATTGAATATCTCGGGAACCGCTTGACCGATTGACCTCATCAAAAACATGAACCGTCTATGTTGCAAAAGCTAGCAGCATACCGAATTTCAACTCGCTAGCTCGCTTTTTCTTTGACTTATCGTGCGTATAAGGTTTTTTTATGAAAAAACGGGTAAACGGCAATATCTCCAAACTTTGCACAAATCGGTATATATGATATGAGTGATCTCGATAGAGGCCATCGAGACGAGTAGTTCGAAAAAAAAATCGAAATCAGTGCAGTTGTTGGCGAGATATTGCGGAAAAACTAAATTTAAACAAGTGATAATATCTTAGGAACTACTTCACCGATCGAGCTGAAACGAAGCACCAAAGTGAGGCTCATTCATAGCCATCATGAGTCGAAATTTCAAATTTTTATCTGAAAATTTCACCGTATTTACATTGAATTTTCTAAAATTGAATCACCAAAAACCCGAATCTGCAAAAACATACATACAGTCACCCCCCTCAAAACATAATTTCTTTACGTTTCATGACGTTATAGACCATTTGCAAGCAAAATTAGAGAATCGAAAAATTGAACAAAAACAATGCTTCCCTTCGGAAGCAAAAATCCAAAATATTCTCAGATTATAGGTTTTAATGAGGACTAACTCTGTGCAAAATTTCAGCCCGATCGATATAATAGTTTTGGAGAAAAAGCGATTCGTTTTGAAATCGTTTTACGCAAATATCTTCAAAACTAATTGAAGGGTTATTTAGGATTGAAAGAATAATTAAACACAGTTTTATTATCGTAAACGTAATTAAGTTCATTCAGCAACGTAACGCGACAACGGTCGAGGCACAAGTGGTACAAAGTACGAGTATATCTCATAGAGGCGCAACGGCGCGGTGGCGACACAGTCAGCCACACTATCGGTAACAAGGAGACTAGCGTAGGGCGCAGAATTCAACACTCCCTCCCGCCATAGACAGTATCCTTGAGTCCTCTCCAGTCTTCTTCTTTCCTGGTAATATATTCTTGTTTATCACAAAGTTTCTTATTTGGTAACTTTATCTCGCCTCAGTATTCTTGCCAGGTAATTTCGTCAGTTTAATCTCATCAGTTTTTCCATCTCGCCAATTTTATCTCTCCAAGAAGGTCTCGCCAAATTAGTTATCTCCTAGACAAACAGAAAGAAAGTAATTTAAATATTTACGTTCATTATTAGGTCCATCAAACGCGTGTGTGTTTCAAACGCCAATGGTTTGGTGAAAACATCAGCTAGCTGATCCCTTGAACCAATCCAAATGATTTTTATATAATTCTTTTTAACACATTCCTTTACATAATGTAATTTGTTCTCTACAACGTGTCTCAATTTCATTCCTCCATTTGTTTCTGCACTAACAATAGCAGATTTATTATCACACCTCAAGATCATTGGAACAGGGGGATCAACCAGTATTAGTTTCAAAGAGTTGTGCAACGACATCATTTCTCGACTCGCCTCGCTCATTGCAACATACTCAACTTCACACGTAGAAAGGGCTACTGTAGTTTGTTTGTGAGTTCGCCAAATGATCGAATCACCAAACAGTCTAATCACAAATCTACAAGTTGTGATTGAATCTTTACAATCAGAGAAACTCGCATCAGAATAACCCTGAATGTCTCACCTGAATATCTCAGACCCAAGCCCGTAGTACCTCTCAGATACCGAAAAATTCTTTTTACCATTTCCCAATCACTTTCTTTAGGATTTACTTGATGTCCGCTTATCACATTGACTGCATATGCAATGTCTGGTCTCGTAGCACCAGCCAAATCCAAAAGACTATCTACAGCCTCTCTGTAAGGGATGTTTTCTTTTGTTTCTGTCCTTTCCAAAGTCCCATTATCATATTCTGTTTCTCTTAATTTTCTCTCATTATTAGCTACTTGAGAAGTATTCATCGGTGTACGTTGTGGATGTGCTTTATCAAAGCCAAACCTACTTAATATCTTTTGAATATATTTTTCCTGATTTAATTTAATAATATGATTTTCTCTGTCTCCCCTAATAGTTATGCTCAGGAATTCCTTGGGTTCTCCCAGGACTGTCATTTCAAATTCGCTACTTAAATTACTCTTTACTTCAGCCAATTTATCGTTATCGTTACTCGCCAACAACATATCATCTACATAAAGTAGCAGAAGCAAGGACTTGTCTTCATCTCGCCAAGTGAATAAACAAGGTTCTAAATCCGAGTTCTGCAGACCCATACTCAAAGGTACTTCGGTGAATTTTACATTCCACCGTTAGGGATTGATGCGAAGACCATAAAGTGCTTTCTCCAATTTGCACACATTTTCTCGCCTATCTTTGTCAGTATGATTAGTTCCTTGTGGAATTTCCATGTAAATTTCCTCATCTATCACAGCATTGAGGGAAGCAGTTTTAACATCTAGTTGACACACCTCTAGATT